CACAACTTGTCTGTTTGAAAGGGACCCGAACAGAATTTTCAGTTTGCTCATTATCGTTTTGTGTTTTCTCTTGTGTGTTTTATCAACACAACATTATATTGGATATGTGATGCAGAAACAGGCCATTTGGCTTAACCAGCCCATACTGGTCTTTTTATGCTCCACTTGAGCCTTCTCCCATCTAAATCTATTATTATAATTCTCTGTTCCCTTCTCTGTCATATTCTGATCTAACTTCCTGTTAAATGCATCAATACAGTTTGCTACAACCACTGCCTGTGATAGTGAGTGCCACATTCTCATCAAATAGTTGAGTGAAGAAGTTTCTTCTGAATTCCCACTCAGATTTCTTGACGACTATCTTGGGTTGACGGCCTCTCATTATGCTCTGCCCTGCAGGAGAAAACTTTCAGTATCCACTTGTTCTGTCTGCGAGTCCTAATGGTTTTGTTGTGTGCCTGTTCCCTTCTGTAGTGGTGGGAGGCTTATTGTCTGCTCACATACTCTCCAAAGAAGGTGGAATCCAGGTAGAGCCAGGATGGCCCTGTTCTGGACCTTTGCTCAGATTGGCGGAAGAAGCTGCTCGCAGGCTACTGCCAGGTGAGTGGGCCCCCCATGCCATACCGATACGGGCATGTTGGACATGTACCATCTTCCTTTCCTCTTGTTGCTGTTGCCTTTGTTTCCAAACATGATTACATTTGCAAACCGCACCTCACTGTTCCAAACATGTGCTGTGCTTTAATAGGCTGGGGTATAGGGTATAAAAGCAGGGAGCTTATGCAAAGGGTGGCACAGTGGTTAGCACTGCTGCCTCACGGTGCCAGGGACCCGGGTTCGATCCCACCCTTGGGCGACTGTCTGTGTGGAGTTTGCACATTCTCCTCGTGTCTGCATAGGTTTCCTCCAGGTGCTCCGGTTTCGTTCCTTCCACAGTCCAAAAACGTGCAGGTTAGGTGGGTTGGCCATGCTAAATTGCCCATAGAGTCCAGGGATGTGCAGGTTAGGTGGATTAGCCATGGGAAATGCAGGGTTACAGGGATAGGGTAGGGGTGTGGGTATGGGTGGGAAGCTCTTCGGCGGGCTTGTGTGGACTTGATGGGCCAAATGGCCTGCTTCCACACTGTATTCCATACTATGAATAGCTGAATAAAGCATCAATTAGAGAGGAGAGCTAAACCCAGCCTCCATCCCGATCACTTACTTGTAAACTTTTCCAAAACCAGAATTGCGCCTGATCTCTAACTTCAGCTTGGGTATCATTCATAGAACATGTCACGCAGAGAGTTCAAGAGTCAATAGTAATGTGCACTTTTCCTGAATAAAAACTGAAAGAACTGCTGATGCTATAAATCAGGA